GGGAAGCAGCAGCCCTACTCTGGTCCCAACAGTAATCTAAAAGCACCCCATTGTTACACTTCTCTCCCTGTGCAGAGGTACCCCTTATGGCTCTCTTCACTGTCAATAACCTTAGTCATTGACATAGTGTGCAAAATTGGAAATAACTGGCAAATATCTCTAGGAATCCCCCAGAATCGGAGAATGCCGGTTTCTTCCGGATCTCACCCTTCTCTAGCCTGCCGTGTCTCCCAGAGCCCCTCACCAGCAGCAAACTGAAGCTTCTTGCGGCCAGTCTGTGCGATGGATACGTTGACTTGCCCTTCGCTTAGCATCAGCTCCACGTGACCCAGTCCATCCCCCAAACGAGAGTAAAGGAGCAGCCCCGTGAGGTCCCAGGTACGGAAGCGAAAGGAGACTGCAAAGCGGCCACGGCGAGGAAAACCAGGCACTTGGACGAAGTTGTGAGGGCCTCCAAAGTTGATGGGGTGTGGAACGGGATCCAAGCAACGGAAAGCCACATTACCCTAGAAGGGAATGGATAGATCCATCAGGACACGGAGGCCAGATAAGCACCGTTAATATTCTCACTGGGTTGAGACCCAGTCCAGAGTGGAGTTAAGACGTCCGGCCAAGGCCCTTCCCATCCGCTGTAAATATGTATGCGTTTGTGGAAGGATCCCAAACAAGCCTGCCCTGAGGACTCTGCTCCCTTGCAAATTTTTTATCACTGATTCCACTGTTCACAAAGCAAAAAAATGTCTCTCTTGTAGTGCTAAGGGCAAATATAGCACAAGACGAATTTAGCATGTGCGCATGCTCCCGAGTTGACCAAAGAGGAGAGCATATCAAAAGACTTCCAGTTCAAGTCCTTACCCTGTCACTTTGGAGTCACATGCTCCTGGTCAAACTGCTCCCAGCCTCTGTACCCCATTTTCCTCATCTGCTAACTAATGAGGCAACTGGGTGGTTCTCAGCTTCTTTATTTTGTTTGTTGTTTGTTTGTTTTTCAAGACAGGGTTTCTCTGTGTAGCCTTGGCTGTCCTGGTACTTGCTCTATAGACCAGATCCGCCTGCCTCCCCAGTGGTGGGGTTAAAGGTGTGTGCATCACCACCACCCAGGAGGTCACAGCCTCTTAACTAAGGGGTGAATGGCACTTCATCTCTGAGTTCTTGGTACTCCCCCCTAGGCCTGAGAATCTGATTGTTGAGAGTGGATCTCATCCCAAACCTCTTTGCTTCCAGTCCCTTGGCTTTCCAAGTAACTTCAGCTTCCCTGTTTTCCCAGTATCCCCTGCCCACTAGCCTCGAAGGTGATCCGTGAATGGCGCCGCACAGCCAGGTCTGCGATGTTGATCCGGTTGTAGATCACATTTTCTATGCAGCCACGGAAGTTATGCCGATAGGCCAGGTTCTTACGCGCAGCACCCACCAGACCCCCGATGAATATCTGTGGGAAGCGGGTGAAAAGAGGTTTCCCTGGGCTTGGGGGAGTGCCTCCTTTTCCTGTGCGCATGCACAGTAAGTTCCCTTTCCACCGTACTGGGCCTGGCTTTCAGAAAGACTTGGAAAGCATTTCCTTAGGGTGAGTGCTAAAGCTTGCTCTTAGGTTTGACCCTCAATGCCACCACTAGTTGGCTGTAGGCCTTCAACAGGTTAAATTGTCGGTCTTAAATACTTATAATGCAGATGGAGACAGGATCTTTATCAACAGCACAGAATTATGGGAATTCTACTTTCCTTGATCCCCCAAATCTGAATTTCTAGACCCATCATAGTAGATCTGGGGTGAGGACTAGAACAATGACAACAAGAAGAAAAGTCTCTCTAGCATGTGGGGGTGGGATGGGGAATAGACCCCCCTTTACCCATTGTCATACCCCAAAATGGTGCCCCACCCTTGGTCACCTCATTGTCCAGATTCAGCCTCTCAAAGTCGCCATTGAGCACAAAGCGATGGACGTAACCATCCAGGGTGAGATTTGCATCTCGGCCATATCGGTCCACTCTCACATAGTGCCAGCTGAGGTCGTTAAGGACACCGCCAGCACTCACTGTGGTGTGACCGGGTCTTGGTTGGATCGGGCTGCTGCCTGAGGGCAGGACAGGGCAGGACTGAGTGAGACTCCAGCAGGCCCCAGCTCCCAAGCCAGCAGCAGCTCCCAACACAGAGTACCCAATCAAAGCCTAGAGTGGAGAGGTGCCCATTGACAAGTGTGCAGCCGGTCAGCCTCTCCAGGCTTCTTTGGCTATCTGTAAAAGCCTGAGTAGGATAACTGCTTGTATCTCATCACAAGGGTGTTAAGAAAAGCAAATGAGCCGGGCGTTGGTGGCGCACGCCTTTAATCCCAGCACTCGGGACAGGCAGATCTCTGTGAGTTCGACGCCAGCCTGGTCTACAGAGTGAGTTCCAGGACAGCCTCCAAAACAATACAGAGAAACCCTGTCTCGAAAAACCAAAAAAAAAAAAAAAAAAAAAAAAAAGAAAAAGAAAAGAAAAGCAAATGAGCTACAAAATCATTTTGTGTTTGTTTACCATGCCTTGTTCAAGGTCACACAGCTGGTAAGCCAAATCCAGTTCTCCTGACTTCAAGCCCACTGTTTTGCTAGCATCAAGGGGAAGACCCAGCTTGGGCAGGGCAGCACTCTGGGGTCCCCAAGCTCACCCAGGCTCATGTGCAGCAGCAGGTGCGCCCCCTGCAGTTCAAGCGTCACATAATCCCCCTGGGCGCCCTCGGTGTGCAGCAACAGCCCATCCTTCTCCTCTGTCTTGAAACTAAATGCGAACACGTCCCAAAGACTTTGGCTGACCCCTCGCGGGAAGCGGTACGAGATGGCATCATCACCGTCAAAGTATAGTATGTCAGACTCTGTGCGAAGGACAATGGGTGGGAGGGGGGGGCCCGGGAGACGATCCCCTCTCAGGTTCCTTGCCCCCACTCCCCACCTCCACACCCTTACTGTAGGGACAGCCGTAGATGCCCAGCCGCAGGCCGATCTTGCCGCGCGGGTTCCAGGCCAGTGGCACGATGCGGATGTAGCGAGCGGTGAAGTGGTAGTGCAGATCATGGCGTACCACCGCGGACTCATTGACGTTTCCGAAGAAGGTCTGCGGGGGTTGGGAAAAGTAGTAACCAAGTCCCTACCCTCAGCATCCCCTGCCGCGTGATGGCTTTCAACCCTTGCCAAACGGGAGTTCACCCCACCTCCCCTGCCTCCATGATTGTATACGGACTAGTTTCCCTGGTCTAGAGTGTCCTATTCTTTCTGCAAAGCGCAAATCTAATGCCACCATCTCCAGGAAGCTGTCCTAGGTTTTGCCCTAAAGTGTGTTAAACCTTGTAATTGGCGAGAAACAGTCTGAGCTGGACTAAATCTCAAGAGTAGTTGTCCTCACCTGTGCTTCATGCTGTCCCCTCCCCTTCCCTTCAGGCTAGTGCCCAGCCCAGGGCCCAGAGCAGGGGAGGCTCCCCAAATGTGTGTGCCTGGGCACCGAGAGTACCGCGTTGTGCCCTTGTTGGTAGAATGGTGTCCAGCTGTCCACACGGTCCCCGTAGAGCAGCATATAACGTGTGACCCAATCCCAAGAATTAAAGGCTCCTTGCGTGGCCACAGCCCGGATCCGGTGCTTCTTCATTAAGTCTATCTGGAGCCAGGGATTCGGGTCCCCAATCCGGGGCGACCATCCACTGATGCCTACAGAAAGGTCAAGGGCTTTTACCACCCACTATCATTTCTCAGCTCTCTGGAGTCCTCCTCCCTTCCCTGGCTGGGCAAGCTCACCGTGCAACCGGGCAAAGCGGGCTGTAGTAAAGAGCCCATAGTAGGAGGAGGCGCCCAGGGACCGTGCATACAGAGGCCCCACCAGCTCCTCATTGCAGCCATCTGTGGGGGTAGAGGGAGGATGATGAGCTTGTTAGCATGGCCCCTCTTCTAAAGGTTGTCCTTCTTCCCAATTGAAGCTGCTCTTCACTGCCCCCCAGTGGTAGAGTCAACCCAACCTTAAAGCTGTGCCCTTAACCTAGGCTTCAGCAACAGGGGCTCCCGCGGGGGAGCTTACCTTCTCCTACGGTATAACTCTTTGCCTCGACCTACAGAGCCAAAGCCAGATCCTTCCTTCCCCTTCCTGCCCTGACTCAGTACCCCCTAAACACAATCCCAAAACTCCAGCGAATTTAAGAATCTAAATGGGCCTCAGAACACCTAATTAACCCCAGCCTTACCATCAATCGCGTTCATCAGCCCTCCGCGACCAAAACATGCACCAATCCCCAAATCAGGTTTTGCTCTCAATCTAGCCACTTCCCAATCTCATTCGTAGCACCATCCTTGGCCTTAGTCAGGGTCAATATCTCCTATTTGGATTCTAGCCATAAAACCCAGCCCCAGCCACAAAACCTACCTAGTCCCTGGGTCAGCTCCAAATTCCAGGCCCAGCCCCTCAAGGAAAAACCTCAACTCTAGCCTGGGTCACCAGTACCGCACTTATAGCCAACCCTAACCTCAAACCCAGGCACTGGCTGCCGCTTGGATTAACAGCTTCAAATCCCCTGGGCTGACTGGTTCCTCGGCTCAGAGCCCAGCCCCAACCCGGGGCGCGCGCACAGCAGTCTCGGAGCTGCATTGCGGAGCGCTGGGAGAGGCAGGAAAAGATGGGAGCGAGCCGGCGCCAGGCGGCCAGGGAGGACCGGCGACCACCCAGCCGCAATGCGGCGAGGGACTCACCTTGCAAAAGCTCGGAACCCCTGCACCCAACCCCGACTGCCTCTGAGACTAGCACTCACAGTAGCCCCAGCCCCGAGCTCCAGAGACCACAGCGGCGATCAGGATGCTGAAGAGCGGGAGGAGACTCATAATGCAGCGCTGACCAGACCTGGTTGTCTGTCTTCCTGTGCCCTGCTCCTGCTAGGGCTCCAGTTGTGGCTCGGGCCCCCAGTTTTTCTCCTGGGGTTCGCGGCCGACCTTCGTCCTCACCCACCCTTCCCTCTCTCCTAACCCCCCAATCTCTCTCGCTCTCTTTCTCTCCCTCCCTCTCCCTCTCCCTGTCTCTCCTCTCTCTCCTCTCCTCCCTTTCTCCGCCCCCTTCCCCAGCCTCTCTCTCTCTCTCCTGGCACGCGTTTTCCCGGACCCCGCGCAAGCGCGTGCCTCAGCCCTATTACGAAAGGGCGGGGTAGACAACCTGCCACTGGGAAATACCCCCAAGTAAGCCAAGGCCGACAAGGACTGGGACTGCAGGGTGGCAAAACGAGTGGGGGGCGGACGAGATGGAGTCTAACGTTTTCAAGGGAAGGGGAGAGCTGCGAAGAAGGACGCCTAGAGATGGAATGAAGAGCAAATAAAACAGTGTTTTCTGGCTCAGAGCTGGACACCTTCACAAGTGTCAGTTCGGCATTTTCATCTTGCTCCTTTTTGCATATGGAAAGCCCGGGGCTCGGAGAGAAAAACAACTCTTATTCAAGATCATATAATCATCCTTTTTTTCCATTGGCAGGGATTAGATAGAAACCCCGCAGACCCTGATCTCCACCCTCCTTCTAGGTCTTTCTCCCCACCCCTTCCTTCCTGCCCCACTAGTTATTTAACTTTACCCCGTGGCTGCACCTCAGAAACCCTTGTAGCCAGAGATGGGGACCGAGCCCACAGAGCAGGTGGGAGTCGGGGCGGGGGTGGGAGGGCGAGAAGGGGAGGAAGGGTGGGGAAGGGGGAAGGAATGGATTTCCCCCTACTAACATCAGGTCCTTGTCATCCTATGACCTGTGTAGGCGCCTGTAAAACTTAAGACCCCCTTGGTATGAGTGTTCTCAGTATGCCTAGGATCGACCTGGCGGTTGGGTAGGCAGGAGAGACGGGAGGAGGGAAGAGAAAAGAGACCAAAAGCCTAAGCTTGAAGTCTAGGGTCCAAGGCTGTAGCAAAGCCTGCATCTGACCCTCCTTCCAGAAGAGGGCGATGCACAGGGAACAAAAGCAGTCAAGGTTTATTAATAATACAAATGCTTGGTCTAAGGCGAGCTAGATGTTTCCATCGTCTATTATCTTCCATCTTTTTTAATAGACCTCTCTGCAAACCTTGCCAGATGGGCTGGATAAGAGCTTCTAGACTAGGCATGACACATTAAGTAACTTAGGTCCAGAGAGAGCAAGTGTCTGCTCAAGGTCACCCAGGGGTCTGGAAGCAGGGCCAGTAGGAGTGCAAGAGAAACAACTGCCTGTTCAGTGTACCCTAGGAAGAATTTTTTGGGGGGATGGTTATCTTCTGGTGTTAGGGCTTCGAGTGAGGAACTCCTGCGTGAAAGGGAGTGTGGTGTAGGAATATGTCTTACATGGTCCCGCCTCTCATTTTGATGTCACCAGATCTCCTGGGAACCCTACTCCGGATACGATGAGGCTTACTCGGTTGGGCCGTTGCCGGAACTCTGTTACAAGGCGGATGTCCAGGCTTTTAGTCGGGCCTTCCAACCCAGTGTCTCCCTGATGGTGGCTGTGCTGGGTCTGGCGGGCAATGGCCTAGTCTTGGCCACCCATCTGGCAGCGGGAAGAACTACCCGATCTCCCACCTCCGTTCACCTGCTCCAGTTGGCCCTGGCTGACCTCCTATTGGCCCTGACCTTGCCCTTTGCAGCAGCAGGGGCTCTTCAGGGCTGGAATCTAGGAAGTACCACCTGCCGAGCCATCTCAGGTCTCTACTCCGCCTCCTTCCACGCCGGCTTCCTCTTCCTAGCATGTATCAGCGCGGACCGCTATGTGGCCATCGCTCGAGCTCTTCCAGCCGGGCGGCGGCCCTCCACACCTGGCCGTGCGCACTTGGTCTCAATCTTCGTGTGGCTGCTGTCGCTGCTCCTGGCCCTACCTGCGCTCCTTTTCAGCCGGGACGGACAGCGGGAAGGCCAACGACGCTGTCGGCTCATCTTCCCCGAAGGCCTCACGCAGACAGTGAAGGGGGCAAGTGCGGTGGCGCAGGTGGTCCTAGGCTTCGCGCTGCCTCTGGGCGTCATGGCAGCCTGTTATACGCTCCTGGGCCGCACGCTTCTGGCCGCCAGGGGGCCAGAGCGGCGGCGTGCACTGCGCGTTGTGGTGGCCTTGGTGGCGGCCTTTGTGGTGCTGCAACTGCCCTACAGCCTCGCCCTGCTGATGGATACAGCCGATCTACTGGCAGCGCGCGAGCGGAGCTGCTCTGCCAGCAAGCGCAAGGATCTAGCTCTGCTGGTCACCGGCGGCTTGGCGCTGGTCCGCTGCAGCCTCAATCCAGTGCTTTATGCTTTTTTGGGCCTGCGCTTCCGCCAGGACCTGCGAAGGCTGCTACAGGGTGGGGGATGCAGCCCAAAGCCCAACCCTCGAGGCCGCTGCCCCCGCCGACTCCGCCTTTCTTCCTGCTCCGCTCCCACTGAGACCCACAGTCTCTCTTGGGACAACTAGGGCTATGGTTCCAGAGAAGGGGGAGGGCTAAGGAAACGATCCCAGGGAGGGTAGCGAGAAAGGGGAGTAAGTGGGGGAACGCTGAGAAAGACTAGAGGACTTAGAGGGATTGCCGCTGCGCTTAATTAAATTGGTACAATACAAATGAGACGCAACCCAACTACTGTTACTATTTCTGAATCACCAGCTTTGGAAACGAGTTGTAACAGGGCCAAGACAGTGGGTTACACCCCCACCCCCACGCCCCTGCTTGAGCCTGAGTGGGAGGTGTTGGGGAAGGGGGTGTTGCTGAGTCGGCTAAAGCTTTGAGTACCGACACTCCCTCTGCCTTCACTCGGTCTCTGCCAACCGAGGTGAGGTGGGAAAGCTGCCAGGTGAGGAGGGGCAGGGTTCCTGCGGAGTCAGTGTAAGAAAGGACTTTCTAACAACCCTAGAGCTATCCAGTAATGGCTGCTTTAGCAAGTATCTAGCTCCCAAGCACGTGAGATGTGCAGAGTGATGCTGTCCCAAACTGTGTGTTCGTGGGTCCCGCCTGGAGGCTGGAGGCAGGGGTAGAAGCGAAGAGACTCTAGTTTGGGCTTTGGATTCCTTCTAGAGTACTGCGATGGAAAGAAAAACACTAATTAAAAACTCGAGTCTGCTGGTGTGTTAACAGATGCTCCAGCACTCCAGAGGCTGAGGCACTGGGGCGGGGGGTGGGAAATCAAGAGCGATATCCTGCCTTAGAAGAGAAAAGCTGAATTTGAGATTTTCACCTAGGACTGAAAACGGGGAGGGGGATGATGCAATTTGCAAATTTCCAGAGAGGAGTTATTGGGTATGTAGAAGTTGAGAATGAGGGATGCGTGTTGAGTTCATTTCCCCTGGAGACCAAGTAAAAGGAAATGCGCCGAGCTTGCCAGGAAAGAGGGAGGTTAGATGTCAGAAAGAACTCTCCTGCAGGCAAGTGTCGAGGATGTTCAAGAGGAGGGAGGTTATGTTTACAAAGTCTCTGGCCATTTCCATCTACTTTGAAAATACAGTCAGAATGGCTCCTAGAGACGGTGCACTGATTTCTGGTCTTTCCTTTGCACAAATACAAATACAAATCACAAATACCAGAATTGGCTTAAACGAGACAATTCTCTCAGTTTAGTATCCGGTCAGCAAAGCCATACCCACTGCTCCAGCCCGGAGTCTAGGGGCAAAAAGGGCGTGGCGTACAGGTCCCTAGAGAGGCGTTGGCTTGAAGTCTTCACTCCGTCCCGCCCAACCCAGCCTGGCTAGTCGTGGGTCCTAAAGCCTCAGGCGGTAGAGACTTAAAACTTTGGCATCTTGGAGTCAGAAGCCAGGGAAGGCCCGAAAACTCCGCAGCTCCTCCGAGGGGCGCACGCTTCCCTCTGGAGCCGACCTGGAACCCTCCACCGGTGACCGCGGGAATCGCCGCTGAGTCAGCAACGCGCGCGCGCGCGCCCTCTGTCTCGGGCTGTAGCACCGGCCCCGCCCTGGACTCCTAGCGCCCTTGTTAACCCCTTCTTGCTCAGAAATGCAGTATATTCGTCCCGAGAGGCCTCCGATCTATTTTCCGAGACTACAGAATTTCCTAGCATACCTAGCCACTCTCTCCAGCTTAGGTCAATGCATTGTAAATTCGCTTTTATCTGAGGTCTTTGTCTGAGGCTTCCCGAAGTTCCTTTCTCAGCTTTTTCACCTCGAAAGTGGGATGACTAAGATCTAAAACTAGACGCTTGTAACTCCAAGGATGGAGATCTGCCTCCGCCGCTAACTCTCCGGCGCAGGTGTGGGATGTCTTGTGGTTGTTAAGGCTCTCTGCTTTTGCAGGCATCCCAAGATGTGACAGGTAATCACAAGGCAGTAGCCCGGCTTCCTACCAGCTTTATGCCCTTCCTTCTCCAGACCTTCTAAGAAGGTTTTTTATTTGCTGCTCGGTGAACCAAGAGTTAAACAAGAGCACGAAGGCGGACCAACGTGACGCCACAGGCACCCCGAGTCCGACCTCAGAAGCTGGGGCGTGGCTAACATCGCACCGCCCACTCCCTCCCCAATTTCCCCCGCCTCTCCCCGCTGTCACTCAGCCAGAAGCACATGATGCAACCCGCCGCAGTTTCAAGAGTGGGATTGGTGGCCCTAGCCGGCGCCAGGCACAGAGATTGGGCAGAGAAGGCTGTGACGAAACATAGACCCTGCCCCGTAAAGAAGGGAGGAGAGAAAGAAGAGGGAAGGCGGAGGGAAGGGGGAGAGGGAGGCGGGGTCCGGGAGCTCAGCTCGCGCCCCCAGCGCGCCAGTCCCGGGGCTGCAGGGAGCGCAGCGCGCGCCGCCCGGGCCCCGGCCACCGGACGCCTTACCGGACACGACCCTCCCTGGAGCTTGGACAACCGCCTACCACGGACACTGCCCCCCACAGGGCTGGACACTACAACAGACACTACTTCCCAGCTCCGGACATTGCTCCCTGTTCCCTTCCCCCGGCCCTGGACGCTTTCCCCCCTCTGCCAGGGCCCAGACATCGAGCCCCCAGCAGGCTCTGGCGATCGTCCTCTTGCACCCCAGCGCTGGACACTGCCTCCCTCTCTTCTCGAGCCTCATCTGTTGTACCCTGTTCGGATCCGAGGACCTCCAGTTTCTCCGATCCCCCTCTGCTCGGGTGACGCTGCCCGCGCCCCCATTCCCCCGACTGCCCGCCCGGATGCCTCTCCCCGGAGGATTGTGGTGGCTCCTCTGCTGCCGTCGAGGCTTCACTCTTCTGCACCGGGACTACGGGGACGGCGAGCTTAGCGGGGACGGGGACGAGGACGAAGACGACGAGACCTTTGAGCTACGGACCCCAAGTCCAGCGGGCGGCGGGAGGGTAAGTCTGGAGGGATTTAGAACCGTGTTCAATTCTTCTCACTACAACCGGTCGTCACGCCTGATCCTGCTCCATTCTCGGGCCAAACGCCGTCCTCTTGGCCAACTGGAAATGTAGGGGAGATTCTTGACTGGAAGCCAGAGCCCCGGGAGCTCCAGGGGCAAGCAGCCCTACACGGGATATGCCTGTGGGCCTCGCGCCGCACACAGGGCGCTGTCCACCTGCTGGGGGCCCTGAGGCAGAGGAGGCGTCACGCGTGGCCCGACCTGGCCCTGCCTCTCCCTTCCCTGCCGGGCCCGCGTCCCATCCCGTCTCCTTCCGCCTCCGCCAGAGCCAAAGAATGTGGCGAGGCCGGCTGGGCGGCTCGAACGCCTGGGTTCGCTCTGCTCACAGTTCATGAGCGCTGGGGCCAGATGCGGGAGCTCTTACCGCGGGAACCTGGGCGAGGGAAAAAAGACACCCCAGGATTGGGGTCTGCATCGAGTACCCTACAAAGAAAAAGCTGGGGACGATGGCCCTTTGAGGACTTCTCATTATCCTTCCACTTAAGACAGAACTCTTTGCCTTTTCTGGTGAGGTTCCTGGGAATCCCGAGGGAATGGTGAGGGTCACTTGGCTGCTGGTTTTTTTGTTTGTTTTTTGTTTTAAATCTAATTTCTCCTGGGAGACACTGAGGCACTATTGGTGTGAAGACCTCCATCCCTTGAGGGCCCTCCTTCATGCCCTGACCCACCAGAGGCAACCAGACTTCTGCGTGCTGTGGTCTGGGCCAGGCTCCCATCCCCCGCTCAGGGGTCCCTAGCAAGCTCCGTGGCTCCATTCCTGGGTGGGGCGGGCTGTACCGCAGCCAGCGCCAGCGCCAGCACCTGGCGAGGCAGAGGGCAGATAAATATAGCGGGGGGGGGGGGGGGAGGAGGGAAGCAGGGGACTGCGATTAGGGGAGTTGGACTGGGGGGGCTCAGTACCTGCCCTCTGGTGGTGTGATGGAAATGGTGGGCTCCCAGGGAGGGGTCATGACCTAAGAGTCCCCAAGCAAGGGCAGGTTCTCTATCCAACAGGCCATGGCCTCCCTCCTACCCCACCTCCACACCCTCTGAGCTCGGGGACAGGTGTCCCCGGTCCTCCTTTTCCCTCCCCCTATCCTGGCTTAAGCAGTCTGGGCTCAGTGGGACCATGGCGCAGTTCCTGTCTAGCTAGCTTGGCTCTGAGTTGGTTTTGAGGCCTCCCTCAGACCCCAGGTTACAACTGAGGTTCCTAGGCAGGAATTGAGAGTGGATTGTGTATGAGAAGGGCAAAATTCCAAATTACCCCTGGCCCCAGGAGTGTGTGCTTAGCAGCCCTCTGCCCTCCTGAGCCCTAGTAAAGGGGCAGTCTGTCACCTTCCTTGGGGTGGTCTGCAAAAGATGCAAAGCTGGACAGAGTCGCTCTTCCCTTCACTCCTCTCCGTCCCCACCCCTTCCCCAGCCTTGGGTCTTCCTCTTCCAAGGAGGTTCTGAGCAAAGCCAGGAGGGTGAAGGAAAAAGTTGAAGAGGCTTCCGTAGGGAGAAGGAGTTTCATCACTTCTCCAGTTTCAAAGGTGGAGAAACTAAGGCCAGGAGATGGGAGGGGACTTGTGCAAGGTATGGCAGTTGCTTAGTGGTCCAGCCGGTATTGGAACCCAGGTCTCCTGACGCCCCGCCTTGAGCCCCACCACCTCTCTCCCTCTCTCTTGATTGCATTTTCAAAGAGCAACGGAGATGAGCCTAGAGCTTTGGCTCTTAGTTCTCAGGCATTCTGTAGTGGCCCACAGAGCCCTGTAGAAGGGATGATTCCAGAGTGGCTCTGGCTCTTCCTGCCCAGGCAAGACCTCCGACTGGGGCATCCTCAATCCCCCAATGAGAGCTGTCCTGGGCTCATACGAAACCACTGGTGTTGGGGGGAAAGTATTCTGAGTGTCTTCCTGCCTATCTCTCCAGGGTTCCCTGGACGTTACGCTGACTCAGCCAACAAGGAGCGGGCCGGTCTCAGACAGGTGAGCTTCTGTTTTGAGACCCTTAGTTCAGAGATCGCAGCTGCTTCTCAGGACCCCCTTCCTCGCCATCTTCCCTCCCCGGGTTGTGCAATAAGGGAGAGGCCCTGTGCTGCCGGACGCTGTGGTTTGGCTGGGGTCCCGGGGGGAGGTCCGGCCGGGGGCGCGGGGAGGAAGAGGGGGGGTCCTAGTTATTTCTGGTGCAAGGTCAGAGCGGCTCCGCGGTTCCCACAGCCTGGAGGATGGGTGCCCAGCTTGGGAGCATGCACCCCTCGCAGTCTGGGGAACCCCTAATAAGGAGCCC